AAAAAAAAAAAAAAAGACTTACAGCTTTGGTCACTAACTTTTTTTTGTTTGTTTGTTTGTTTGTTTTGCAGTTTTTGGCTGGGGCTGGGTTTGAACCCGCTACCTCCAGTGTATGGGGCCAGCACCGTACTCCTTTGAGTCACAGGCGCCGCCTTTGGTCACTAACTTTACCTGTATTACCAGCTAGTCAAAGTATTAGTCGAGGTCATGCTACTAGCTATTCAGATAATACCCCAATTTTTTTCTTTTTTATTTAAAGTTCAAATGAGTGTTCCCTCTCAATGGGCAGTTTTCTTCTAAATAGGGATGCAGCCTCCATCCAACTTTTTTTTTTTTTTTTTTTTTTGAGACGTAGTCTTACTCTGTCACCCTGGCTAGAGTACAGTGGCGGCTAGAGTGCATTGGTGTCATAATAACTCACTTCAGCCTCAACTCCTGAGCTCAAGCAATTGTGCCTCAGCCTCCTAAGCATCTGGGGCTGCAGGCATATACCACCACACTAAGTTAATTTTTTTCTATTTTTAGTAGAGACAGAGTCTGGTTGTTATGCTCAGTCTGGTCTCAAACTCCTGAGCTTAAACAATTCTCCTGTCTTGGCCTCCCAGAGTTCCAGGTTTGCAGGAATGCGCCACCATGCCTGGTCTCTATCCAACTTTTGACTTCTACAGTTCCTTAATTTAATACTCAACAGTGTTGGGTGGCGCCTGTGGCTCAGTGAGTAGGGCACCAACCCCATATACCAAGGGTGGCGGGTTCAAACCTGGCCCCGGCCAAACTGCAACAACAACAAAAATAGCTGGGCAGTCTGGCGGGCGCCTGTAGTCCCAGCTTCTCAGGAGACTGAGGCAAGAGAATCGCCTAAGCCCAGGAGCTGGAGGTTGCTGTGAGCTGTGATGCTACAGCACTCTACCGAGGGCGATAAAATGAGACTCTGTCTCTTAGAAAAAAACAAAAAAACACTTAACAGTGTTAAACTGGTATACCTTGTTAACCATATTGGTCTTGAAGTAAAACACAATGTTTCTTTCTGTATCTAGAAAGAATAGAAGAAAGAACTAGTCATGTGACCCCCATCTAAATGTAAGGGAGGTAAGGACTGGGAATTTTAGCCCTTGATGTCCAGGTACTTTCTAGCAACAACACTCTGATAGGTAGACATATTTGTCATAAATGATATCTGTTACAAATAAACAGAAACTAAAGAGATAGTGAATTAGTTTGCTTTACTTGAATCACTAATAATACCTGCCTTTTATTGTGTACTTGCCATTTGACAGGTACTGCTAGGTGATTTATATTTAGTATTTCATTTATTCTCACATAGCTATGTGAAGTATTATGCTCATTTTAGAGATGAGGAAACTAAAGCTCAGAGAGATAACGTATATTGTTATGATTCCAAAGCTTATTTTGTTCTCCACTGTATTTGCTTTTCCACTGCCCCCTTTCTCATGTGAAATTCTCTTTTTTATTATAAATTGGTCTTATTCCATGATCTTCATCTTATCTTCTCTGCCCATATTTGGCATAAGCACATAACGACAGCTACCATTAAGTGCACTTTGCTGAAACTTTCTTTTAACCCTCAAGAAAACTTGAGATATTTTTCAATTACAAATCAAGGGGCCTGGTGAAGTGGCTCATACCTGTAATCCTAAACACTCTGGGAGGCCAAGGCCAATGGGTTGCATGAGGCTAGGAGTTTGAGAGTAGCCTGAGCAAGAGCAAGACCCTGTCTTTACTAAAATTAGAAAAATTACCCAGCAACATGGTGTACACATACCTGTGTTCTCAGCTACTGGGAAGCTAAGACAGGAGGATCAGTTGAGCTCAGGAGTTTGAGGTTGCAGTAAGCTATAATGATGACACTGCACGCTAACCAGGGCAACAGAGCAAGACTATGTCTCTAAAAGAAAAAAAAAAAAATTATGGGTCAAGAAAATAAATTCGAGAGTTTCAGTAACCTGCTCAGGATCTCATAGCTTGCAATATTTAGAGCTTACCGTATTTGAACACCAGACTTTATGACTAGAAAGTCTGTTCCCTTGACTTTTATGTTATACTACTTTGTTAGTCTTCGGAGAATACTTTACAACAATTAGTTTCAGGGCTACAAGATTTCATACTTCTTCATGGAATTGTTTCTCCCCACTCCCTCTGCTGTGGGCCCCATTTCATGATTATAGATTAATTTAAACATATATAAAGACTCATTCTGTGATAATCCAAAAACAACTTATTGTGATTTAGATTGTGATCGTTTAAATTACTATATCTTTTGGGGGCAAATCATATTTTAACTGTTGATTTGTATGCTTACATATATGTAAGTAGCTATATATATTTATAACCGAGTATAATACATATCTGGCTCTTATTTAAAAGTCAGGTTATGGCTCGGCGCCTATAGCTCAACCAGCTAAGGCGCCAGCGACGTACACCTAAGGTGATGGGTTTGAATCCCCAGCCCGGACCCGCCAAACAACGACGGCTGCAACCAAAAAATGGCCAGGCGTTGTGGCGGGCACCTGTGGTCCCAGCTACTTGGGAGGCGGAGGCAGGAGACTCGCTTGAGCCCAGGAGT